CTGCTACTGCTACTGCTACTGCTCTAGCAGGAGCTGGAGCAGCTAGAAAGGCAGTAGAGGCAGCGGCAATGGAGCTCCTCGGCAGGCAATCGGGTTGCCTCGCGACGCAACGCTTGGAGCGGTCGTGGCGATTCGCCTTGAGGTCGAGAAGGAGCCTCACCATGTCCTGCAGGTCAGAGACCGTCTGGTGATTATGAGGATGACGATAATCCGCGAGGTAGATTATGGTGACGAAGATGACTGTAGGCATGGTGAAGCAGTGGTTCATGATGAAAGAAACTGAATGATACTGATAGTGAGGATGATGATGAGGAGGAGGATTGTGAGGCTGAGGATGACGTCGACGATGGTGATGATGATGATGGTGNNTGATGGTGATTGTGATAGTGATGGTGGTGATGGTGATGGTTGATGATGGTGATGGTGATGGTGATGATGATGATGATGATGATGATGATGATGGACAGTGATCATGGTGAACCTGACAAGTGAGCTTCCCCATCATGATATGTGCGAAGACACAATACGGACACCAGAATCTGACAACGCAACCGTCTTAGCAAAAGCACTGCACTGGAAAAACACATTTTGGTGTTGCCATCGGCACTAGTGGCAGCATCGGTGCTGTGGAATCTTTTCCCCCTCTGGTGCTCTTCTCTCAAACGCACTAGACCATGGACGTCATTAGGTTTTGGGCATGGATGCCCTGTTCTCAAACGCTTTGGATGAACATCACGACCACCAAAATTTGAAAAAAAACAGTTTTATTCTCATCGCTAGTTTTTGGGCATGAAAATCCAGACCTCCAACCTCAAAAAACAGCCAAACAAACCACAAAATCTCAAAGACGAGTGCTGCAATACCAGCATTTTTGGCTGCAAGATTGAAAAGCAAAGTTCCAAAAACAACAAAGCATGAGCAACAGCCAACGCATAAAAAAGCTGTAAAACACTGCGTTTCTGACAACACAAAGTCTGAAAATTGACAGGTGTTGGACACCCTCCTACGACGACGACGACGACGACTACTACTACGACGACGACTACTACGACTACTACGACTACGACCACTACGACTTCTACTGCGACTACTTACTACTTCCACTACGACGCCCCTCCACATCTGCGGGAGGGGCATGAACCTAGCTGGTCACAATAGCCACAGACAGGATGCCACAGGCGGGGTGGAAGCCAAAGCAGCATGTTCAGGACCAGGTGGAGGCAAGAGGTGACAGGCCAAACCCTAATCATATTTGCACAAGCGTGGTGCGGCGTGCTGATTGGCACAGTCATTCCGAACTCGTGGTCTCCAAGTCCTCGTGACGATGAATCGCTGCATGGCCCAGGGGCGTCGTGTACCTGTGAAGACGCACAACGACAACGGAAAACAAGCATGGACTGTCCAAGGCACCAAGGAAGGTTCGGCGTCCAGCACCTTGGCGACGTGCACTTGTTCCTTGAAGGCGAGCCCTAAGAACTCGAACCAAGCCACCACGGGTACTCGATGTCAGCTCCCAGGACCAAGTAGCTCAACACCTGCACGGAGCTCTAGCAAGCTGTCACGTTGCGCATGGAGCGGAGCCCCCACCGACCTGCGATTGGCTGTTGTTCCTGACGGCGGTGCAGAGCGCAGCTTCAATCCCGCTCTTCGGGACCGCCGAGATTCCCATGACATAGTCCTGCGCATGCGCCAGTGCCAGTCTGCAAGAGAGCTGACCCCAACATGCCAGCTGCACGATCATCAGCATAACCCGCGAGCATCGCTTTCCATAGTTGCTACGATCGCTGCTGCTGGTGCTAATCCTGTAGCAAGTAGCCGACTAGCTCTACTGTTGTTGCTGATCTTTGTTCTTGTTGGGTTTCCTACACTACTTCCTGATTCGACGATTATCCTATGATAAGCATGCTGCCAGTCTTGCCAGTACTCTCACCACGACTCTCAAGCCTCTGATGGCCATCATTCCTGCGACAAGTAACCTGGCCATAAGCATTAACCTTGCCAGCAGCCATCAGTAGTGCCGTTGTTCTCGTACACTTGCGACAGATACGGCCATTGATTCTTGGTCTTATTGCGACTACTACTGCTATCTTCATCTGGAATCAACGGCCTTGCCACGGATCCGCAGCTTGGGGGACTTGACATCCCAAGGCCAGTCTGCTCCGTTGTCGAGCAAGCACCTTCAGCGCTTTTTGGGTTTCGGGCTTGGGGTTAGGGCGGTTAGGGCTTGGGGTTTAGGATTGGTTCTGCATTCCTGGATAGCTCTTAGGCTTGGCTCAAACCCTGAAACCCTTCCAACCCTGAACCGCCAAGCGTTCAACGAACTCCGATCCGAGGAAATGTAAGCAGCACGGGGCCGAAAAAAACACAGTTCCGCCAAACGCCGCTCAAGTCTCGTTTGGAGCCTGGTCGCAGCTGAAAGTCTGCACAACTACTACGACCTTAGTCTTTTGCCTTTCTCTCTGCATATGAAACGAACTCTGGGCTTGAAAGTTCCCCCGGTTCCCGCTTACACCCAAAGGAAGCAGCGGCACTTGGTGATGTGGAACTGCTGCTGCTCTGCCGCATACATCACGAGGGGCTTGCCGTCGATCGTTTGGTTCATCTGGCAACGGTAGACCGGCTCACAAATCCGCGAAAGCTGCGTGATCTGAACACACAATGGCAAGCCCCAAGGCTTGAAATGAAGCCCCGCAGTCGAAGCGCAGCCCCAAGACGTGGTCTGTTTAAGAATGGGTTAGGGGCAGGGGAAGGTTCGCAGACTGTGAGGCCCCTGAACTTAGAAAGTTTCAAGCCCACCTGTGCACCGTTCTTCTTCAGGTGGTGGATGGCGCCCTCGGCACGAGCTAAGAATCGAACCCTGCGTGGATTCGAAATTCGGACTTAGGTGTTAGATTGGACTTGAGGTTCTGATGATAGAGCCTCATGATAGAGATACTTAGTGCTACTTACATCACATCTTCCAAAACCCTTGGCATTCTGGAACGAAGCTGGCAGTCATGCCTTGTTTGTCTCCTATGTGGCTCAGTGTGGCCGAGTTTTGGGCCTGCGCTTGTTCGCAGAGGCTGCCATGTCGGAATCACCCGAAGAGCCTCCAAACTCCCAACATTTCCTGGCAGGCAAGGCTCGAACTGGCCGCCGCCTGATCCACATAAGACAAAAAGCAGCGTGCAGACACGGCATCATTGGATCTGGCCTTTCGGCCCTGAAACCATGCTTACCATGCAAACGCTTAAGCTTTCGATATCTCAAGGACAGCGCGGACTACACTTAGGCTCGATCCAGACCGTATGACTGTGAGAATCGGAAAACCCTTCGCATGTACAGCTTCGACTCGAATTATACTCGAAGTTGGGCCTTCGCATGCGATATAGACTGGCGGCAGGCCCTGCTTGTTCGGGACGCTCGGATCTCCACCTAACTCCTTGATGATGCGGGTGAGTCCTGCAGGCACTGTCCGCCTGTGAGTCTGGGTTTATGCTTCTGACACCGTCACTTCGACCCTGATTTTACGGACAGAAGCAACCTCGAGAACACATGCCGACGTCCTTCATCAACTCCCCAGTATGCCGCTTCTTGGACTGTGGTGCCACCACGATGGCCACATGCTTGTTTGTTGACCTTGCTAAGACTTGGAGCACGGTGTTTTGTGTACACTGCGCATGGACCAACACTGGCATACTTGTGCAAGACAAAACAAGCTCGTCCATGTGAACACAGCCTCTCAGAACGCCCCAACTTGTGGTACTGGTGGCGGTGGCTGGTGGTGGTTGCAGCAGCGCCAATTGGACTTCGAAAGCCGTTCTAAGTTGCTAGCAGATCCTCCCATTTTGACGAGCTCTTGAAGCACTTCGAACTGGAAAAACTTGCTGCCAGCCTGGCAAAGTTGCGTCGGCAGCTCTTCTGACTATCTAATTACTACCTATTTCTAACTTAATCTAGCTTACTAGCAGAGTTTCCACGAAGGGATCACGGGGCAGCTTGTAGAACACCAAACGGTAGCATCGCCAGCAAAAGCAATGAGGTGCTGCTGAAACCAACCCAGTTTTTGCTGTGAGCCACTTGCCTCACAGACGGCCAAGTCGATGTCGTTGGCACGGTCATTGAGGAAGATCTCTGCCGCATGCCTGTGGCGAATGGCCTGATGCCCAGCTCGCGAATCCAACTGGAGAGTTTAGGGCTCTGTTGAACCACTTCCTGTCTCGATTGAGGCACGCTACTCCGCAACTGCAAAGACCCTGCAGAGCACATGGAAAAATTCCCATGGGGCTGTCCTCACCCACCTTTGTGTATTCGCCCTTGACTGCCTGCCGCTTCTTCCAGGCGTAGGGAGTTTGCAGCGGCTGCATTTTAGAAGCTTGCGCTGAGCAAGAGCTGTGCACAATGCTTCGACAGAGGTGAACCCGTGGCGACAAAGACAGAAGGCTAACCGAACAGCCTCCAGCAACTGCTTTTCGGCAGACTCCAGGTCTTCAGGCGAGATCGTGGGGGCAACCGGCGCTCTGCCTTCCACAATCACACCAAGACTTAACCAATCGCGCACATCCTGTACGCTCTAACCACGGAGTGCCACAAGCTCTGGGTGCTGCCAAGAGTCTTTTGTTGTGTAAATCGACCAAGGCATCAGTGGCGACAGCCTGACCACTGTTGAGTTCTGTCTTCCCTCGCTGACTCAAGCCCGGACGAGGTCTAGACTCTAGACCGATGGTGCAAGAAACGACTGCCAGGCTCGCTCCTAGTCAGATGCGGCGACTTGATGCTAAGCCATGCCTGTAGTTCTGAGTGCAGAGTTCATGTCTTTCCCTGACAGATCGATGGGTCGACAACCCCTGGCGATCTTCATTGCAGATGAACTGCACGGACCGATATAGACTTGGCCCTGAACGCAGCAACACTCCTACGAACCGTCTGGGCTCCAAGTTTTGAGTTGCATGCTGCCTCCTGCAAGTGTCTCGACACGGGCTCCGACGTCTTGGACCGGGGAAGAATCTCCAGGGTCCCGCCGGCCTCTTGACCGTTTAGCGCTTTGAGGCTTTGGGCTGGAACTTGCTTAGTTGCGGTTAGGCCTTTCGTTAGGGTAATGGGCGGTCTGTCGAAAATCCTTCCTAGCAGGCTATGAAGAAGCAAAGTCTTCAACATGTCAAGGCAAGACATGATTTCCACAAGTAGGCAGGTAGAACCGTCCTAGCATCTAGCAACGTATGTCTGCTACTCGTATACGCTCACCAGCTTTCAACAGGAGCCCTACGTACGATCTACCGATCTACCCGTGTGTTTGGGAGTCCGAGCTTTCTTGCTCCCAGGACCGCCCCGAATCGCCGTGCCTGGAGGGCATGCAGCATCATCGCAGCAGATGCCAGGGCCTAGGCGGGACAGTGAAGGGGTGTTCGCAGTTCGGGGTTCTGCCAGGTCTTAGCTTCCGAATCCCAAGTTTGGGCGAGCCCAAGTAGCACGGCAGCTGCACTAATGGCACACCCCCTGGTAGAAACTCAGATCCCGAAGCCCAGCGACACCCCGTAATTGGAGGCACCCTGAAGACCCGATCTAGGCCAGGCGCCAGAGGCACTCTTGCAAGCTGCCAACATCGCCATGGGCGGTGTGATTCTCCTGTGGATTGCGGCCGGTCCGGGTTCATGGAGGGCCTCTGAGTTTAGGGTTTGGCCGGTCTGGGGCAGGGCATCTGCAGACCAGCGGAAGCTTCTAAGCACAGGTTTGACTTCAAATCAGCCCGGACTTGAGATCTTGCAGTGACCCTCAGGCCTGTCTTCACTGCAGGGCCGTCTGCACAAGCTCTTTGCATCGCCTCAGTATCCGAATTGTAATTTGCATCGAGCTTCAGAGCACATGCATCAGACTTGGATCAGCTTGGGAGCTGGCCAATGCGGCTCGTGCCACTTGGCTGCCCTAAAAGCTGCGCCCCATACAGGCGCGAGCTCGGTTCGCAACGGTGCTAACTAAGATGTGCGAAGGCTTTGTCTTGCGCCCTCTTCCCGCAAGTGCACTCTGAACGGTCCTGAAATAATAAAGACTGTCAGCTCCAAACAGCCAGAACCTCGGTACAAAGTAACCCTAAACCCTAAAAGCTTCCTAAGGGCTGCTGAGCCAAAGTCGGCAAAGCTCCACAGCTGCACTAGGGGCAATCGACTCGCAAGAACGACCACAAACTGCTATCAACGCCATGTGACCGTGTTGGTCGCGCCCCTTACCCTGGGCCCCGGTACAGAAACTGACAAGCCAGAACCAGGGTGAACAAGTGTCCGACCTAACCAGCAGTCCTCAAGCCCAAGGAGCCCTCGAATTCTCTAAACCGACTCCTAAACCCCAGAAGCCCAAACCCCATCATGGAAGCGCCCTGAAGAATCCTCGAACCCTCTCCCAGCGCGAAAGAAGCCCTAAACCCTAAACCCTGAACCTTAAACCCTAAACCCTAAACCCTGAACCCTGAACCCCAGGACGTCTGCACTCTCCCGCCTGGTCTCCGTCTCTTGGAGCCAAGCCGGCCGAGTGCCGAGCACCTGCTTCTTCAGTTTGCTACCTGTGGCCTTTCCCAGGGTTTAGGGTTTAGGGTTTAGGGTTCAGGGTTCAGGGTTTAGGGTTTAGGGTTTTGCGCTTCTGATGTTCCGAGTTTTGAAGGTTCTAGATATCTTGGGGTTTGGCGATGCAGGGCTTTGGGCCTACGGGCCCTGTTCCGGGGCTGCGTCCGCAGGACACTCACTCCTGGGGATGGGAGTACTTCTTTCTTAGTGTCGCTGGCAATGCCTGTACACGTCCTGCCCGGAGAACCTTGCGAGCTGTTAGATGTCTTGTTTGGACAATGGTGCTGAATTCGCTCCGTAGAACAGTACCATATCTATCTATCTATCTATATATATATATGAGCCCGACA